TAAGATAGTATCTTATCTCAAGTATTCCTACTTTCTCTTTCAGAGGCAAACTGTGTGACATGGTGGATATGTTAATTACCTTGATTGTAGTACTCATTTTAGAATGTATAAGTTTATCAGAGCATCATATTTTGTACACCTTGAAGATACATAAATTTTATTTTTCAATCACACCTCAATCAGGCTGAAAAAATGGCATTCAGAAAGGAAGCAAACATTAAAAATTTGTTATAAATTTTCAAGCAAAGAATGATAACATAAGATTAGGAACAAGAATATGTGTGTATAGATTTTAACATTTATATCTGTGAATATTAATTCATATATACAGATCTTGAAGGTAAGTTACAATCTTGAAGAAAATGAAAATTATATTGTGTACCTATAATATGAAAATTAAAACTTACAGAAAGGCATATACTTTCACTCAGTGATGTATACTTGAGCATATGTGTTATTTATAATAGCCTAAATTTGAAAACAGCCCAAATGTCCATTAACTGGTGAATGAATAAATTGACAGTGATACATTGAAAGAACAAAATACTCTTCAGCAATAAAAAGGAACTAACTTCTGACTCAGCAACATGTGTGAATCTCAAAAGTATTATGCTAAGTGAAAGAGAGATGACATACTATGTGATTTCTTTTAAAATTTTTGGAGAAGACAAAATTCAGGACAGAAAGCAGATCAGTGGATGCCAGGAGTGGGAGTTAGGGAAGGAAATGTATTGCGAAGGAACATTAGGGGATTGATTCTGGTGATGTTTGAAATGTTCTATGTCATGATCGTGGTTGTGGTTATGTGACTATACTATTCTGAAAGTTTGTTAAGTTGTACACTTCAAATTGCTGATGCTTATTATAAGTTAATTGTACTTTAAAGTGAACTAAAAATAATTCATATTTAATAACTGATGTAAAAAGTTTTAATGACTTAAACATTGATTTTCCAAATGAGATCGCTGATTAAAATTCTCAAATATTGAGAACAAAGATACAGTATCTCATTGTAATTTTTATTCTTCTTAAAGTTAGTGAGTTTCTTGGCCATTTGGATGTCTTCTTTTGCAAGTGTCCTTTGACTTCTTTTACTTATTCTTCTGTTATGTTGCTTCCAGTTCCTCATGAATTTGTGGAACTTTTTGTATATTAAGCGCAGTAGTCCTATATTTTTAGTCTGAAAATATTTTTCCAGTCACCTGTTTGTTTTGACTATAGTATGTTTTTTAAAAAAAGAAATATTTGAAATGTACAATGACAGCTCCCCATACTCCTATTAACATTTTGATATAGTGCTCATGTTTTAAGAAGTTTATATGTGTGT